GTAAACTGAAGCAAAGGAGGTTCTGACTTGATACGCAGCAAAAAAATGTATCTACCATCAGGACGGTCAAGCAACAGAGCATACTGTCCAGAGAGGCTGTGTCATCTCTTTCCTTGCAAGTTTTCCAAGACCCAACTGGATAAAACCCTGAGAAACCCTGACCTGTTCTGAGCAGGAGGTTGGACTGGAGATATCCTGAGAACCTTTCCCTCTTTTCCTGACTATTCTCTTAGTATATCACATCATTAAGAACTTCAACACACCATTATTCAACTGGATGATTTGAAATAATCTTAAAACTATGCTGGATAATGCCAAAATTCTTTTCTCCCTTGAAGTTACCCAAACCCCTTACTGCATGCGACTACCTCACTTACCCAGAAACATTACCCATGGTATTTCCATATCTCTGGACACGTACTTACGCTCAGAAACATTTGTGTTGCTTTATTAAAATGCCACCAAGTCTGGAAAGGAAAGGTTTAGAGGAATGCAGGGCCTAGCATCTGGAATTTATCACGTTGTTAAATGCTCAGATGCAAAGGTAGCTAACAACAGGAGGAAAAATAAACCGTGAAGATCTATGGGAACAGTCAGTCCTATCTGGAACATACTTCACCCTGCAATACACAAGGTACATTGTGTACATCCACAAGCTGAAAGTTGTAGGCCTTACAATAGCACTGAGGCGATGCGTGCTGTCAGGTTGAGCAGCAGGGAAGAGAGACAAAAAAAAGAAAGGGAAGGTCTCGTGACCTTGCCAGGGGTTATATCTTGTTTCTGAACACAGAGTGTTCTGGGGAATGTAGTTCTTCTCTTCCAGACCGGTGCATGGAACTGGAACATTAACTCTTTTTACTCCCAGTGCACTACATGATGTTACGGTGTGGAATACCGATAATCAAAATTATAAAACCATGACACAGCTTCAATTCTGAATTGCCTTCGGTGCATCTAAACAAGTATGTTCTAATTTTTTTCAGCACGGGAGTGGATTTTTGACTAATATTTTTCTGAGTGTATTTTATATTCACTTCTTTTTCCTGGTCTTAGAAATAAATATTTTGCTAAAGTAAAACAAAAGTAACCAAATGACAATATCTCATGACTCAGACAACCAGTTGGTTTGTTTAGAGAAGTAAACTAAGAATTCTCTTGGAAATTCACTTCATCAATAGCCAGACAGCAAAGCGTCTCTAAAAATCCTTGCAAGTTTTCATGGTGGTTTCCACTCTGAAATAAGCTATGTCTTAAGCTTAAACAGATTCACACAGAAAACATAGAAAAGTTTAGAAAATGAGAGAAACATCACAGAATCATTAGGGTAAGAAAGCACCTCTGGAGATCATCTTGTTCAACCCCCCCTGCTCAAGTAGGCTCCCTATAGTAGGTTACACAAGTAAGTGTCCAGGTGTGTTATGAATCTCCAGATAAGGAAACTCCACAGCCTGTCTGCGCAGCTTGCTCCAGTGCTATGTCACACTCAAAGTAAGCAAGTTCTTTCTCATGCTTGTGTGGAACTTTTGTGTGTTCATTTGTGCTGCCCTTGTATTGTCACTTGTCATGGTTCTATGTTTTTGTTTTTGGTTTTTTGTTTTTGGATTTCAGTATTCCACATCAAAACATCATGTAGTATACGGGGCATTAAAGTGTCACTGCCCCAATTCCAAGTACCTATCCCTGTACATTACAGCAGTCACGGGATCTGGCCCTTCCGGGTGGGGGGGGACACTCTCTTGCTGCCTTGCAGTGGGTGCTGGAGGGTGCTTTCCTAGCCGTTCCAAGCTTTTCAGGTTTGAATCGGTCCTGGGAACTCTCTCTCTTATCTTGTCTGATTTATTGATCTCAATTTCAATTAAATTGTATATATTGTGTTATTTTGTATTCCAATATTATAGTAAAATAAGTTTTCCTCCATAGATTGTTGCCGCTGCTCTTTTCCTCCCTTCCTTCCTTCCTTCCCATTTTTGTGGGACTGGGGTGGGGGGGGAGGGCGGAGGCCTATCGCCCCTGTCACGGACATAGATTGATCTGGTCAACTCCGTGACATCACTGTGCTCCACTTTTCAGAGTTTGGCCTCACCAGCACTTCAGATGTTTATGAGCATTGATAAAATTCCAATTTCTGTGGCATGAGTGAGTTGACTTAACTCAGTCATGGGTAAAACAAATGCCAAAGCAACGGGGCACTGTCCTAGGACACTAAGGTTGGTGTTGTGTATCTCCTTCACAATGCAGACATGCAAGATAGCACAGGTAGGAAGTAGCAAGGGATCCTATCTAGCAAGAAATGAAATTGCAGAAGCAACAAATCAGGAAACTCCAGGCATTGATTCCCTATAGTTTTGGTGCAAGCTCCCCCTTTAATCCTACAGGGTTTATACACACTCAAACAGCCTCTCCCTGCTTCTTTCCAAATTTACCCTCATCTACCCTCTGAGCCTTATCATCCCCAAATTCTTACCACCTTTCTTTAGAGTTTCTTCTTCCTCACTTAAACTCATAGTCACAGTAATAATAATGGCGTTGATAAGATGCTCATCACCATCACAATAACCACTGAGCACATACATCCCACCACTTTCCCCTTCCTTTTTCCATTTACTTAAACTGTCCAGCACTGGACAGTGTCACACTTTTATGCAATACCTTGGAAAATGGGCTGCTAAGTGAGATAGTAGAGGCTTGCAAATTTGTCCATGCAGACAAATTATGCACAGGCTTGCAAACTCCTCTCTGTTTGATGTCTGTAAACTCTCACCAAATAAGGCCTCAGTTACAAAGGTCAATCAATAACCTGAACTTAGGAATTTGAAATTTACTACACAGGCTTAATAGGCCAATTAACTTCTCTGCCCTGGGTGGCATAAAGTTAACTGCACATGCAATGTATGATACACATACAAGGGGGAACATGTATTAGGCAGATCAGGAAGCTGTAATCTCCAAGTACTTCAGCGAATGAAGAAAGGAGAAGGAACAATGTAGTCAGGAAGAGGGGATAAAAAAGAAGCTGCAACCTCTGGTGGGTTGAGAGACATGCCTACAGAGAAATGCCCCCAGTAGTCTCTCTCTTTATTTGAATAAAGAAAGCTAAAGACTCTCCTCTGGCTCTTTTTGGGATTAAGATAATTGAGCAAGCCTATCAGAGCAAAAGAAAAAATTCCCAACGTGTAGTAACTATCACAACAAACATAACTATAGTTTGCATTCTTCTGACTTGCCTGACAGCCAATATACAACAGATTTCTTTCCATGCTAAAAAACAAAATAAAATCTCTCAAATCTTTGTAACAACAACATATATATATACATATATAAAATCCCTTTCTCAGTTCTCTGTTTAATTCACAACTGTCTTCCTTCCCATCTTCAAAGCTGTGTGCAGTTTCAGTTAGCCTCTTTGATGGACTAGAAAATAAACACACTGTTTTTCAGCAAGGTAATCCATTTCAGTGCACAAAAAAAAACCACAGTAAACTGGTAATCAGATGGAAACCAATTAAGAAGCAACCTTGCGTGCATCAGATCTATTGCAGAGACTGAGCCTCCCCTTTACACTTCCTCTTCCACAGGACTCAGTATCTGTTTACTTGTGGCACAAAGCGTTTGAGCTAACAACCAAAATCCAAGCAGCTTCCCCTTCATATTTACAAGGAAAACAAACACTGCAAAAATACATGGGCAGCAATGTAAGCAGAACACCAAGGGGAAGATGAATAATGCACTCCTGAACGTCAAGTTACAGGGGGATATTCATAACATCCCAGCTTCTTTCCCACATTGCAACAAAATAAAATGTAGGTGGAACCAAAGTCCTGCTCTCATTAGAATGCAAAGAAAATCATTTCATTTAAATTCACTCATATGTTCTAGCCAACCATTTATGCAGAAACATTTTATATCTTGTACATACAGTTCAGGCCATTCTCAACATTTCAGTCAGATGAAAAATAGACAGTAAATTGCAGGCAAAAACACTTCCTCGGCAGTTAATATTCAGGATCACAGATAATTAAACCACAGAGTGGTTCTGTCTTTCAGGGAGCTTTATTTCTTGCCTGGCTTCCTGGCTGTTTTTTGTCTCTAGCACTTCTCTCCTGCTTCTGGCAGATGAAGTGGAGGTGGAGAAGAAAAAGGAGGAAGGTTCCTGGGGAGATCAGGAAATTACAGTAATTTCCTACCTGTGAGCAGGGAACAGTTTGCTCAGGTAACACTGACCTGTTGCTGCTACATACTCCGCACCCCATTTGTTTTTTTTTTTAAACTTAGGTTTAAAAGATGTTTGCAATTATAAAGTTACATAACCCGAAGTCTAGTGCATTTATCTCCTTTCTGCCCCCAAACACACAAGAACAATAACCGCCCACTCATACATTTTATCCACCTCTTTATTGTTGCTGTGAGCAATTCAAAACAAAAAACTGCAATTTAGAAAGATCCTCAATCATGCACCTACAGTTCATTGGCATTTAGTTAACACCCAAACCTGATATGAATATAGATACCACCCATCAAAATGACAGTTAATGCCACAGACAATAAATCATCTCAAATCCCTAAATTAAGCAGCAGTATTACCATAGGGACAAAGATACTCTCGGTATGCTCCTTAATTACCTTCCCTTGTTCAAAACAATGAGAGAACTGTCCTCACACAGCTCCACTTATGTTTCCTTTCATCATTCTGAAAAGAGAGCTGTTTAATATCCAACATTTTGTTTTCAACTGGAAAGATCATCTGAATGCATGCGGAAATGAGTCTGTATACTTTTTTTTTTTCTTTTTTTAATAACTAGAGGGGAAATAGATCAGAATAGATGGGGAAAGTGAGGAAATAAAATTTCTTGCACATTCATTTTTAAATTAGACGGGGAAAAGATCTCAAAAAAGTTATGGAAAAAGTATAATCCATGAAAGAATAACATTCTAAGAGCTGAAAGAATCTAGTTATCTCTTGTTCACTAGAAATCACAAAAAGGAAAGTGATGACTACTTACATATAATAGGTAGGATATAACCCTTCAAAGTACCAGCAATGCTTTTTGGCCTCTGTACACTACAAAGAAAGAAAAATACCTTATTAATATTTACACAGAACAAGGTGCAATTATAAACACAAGCACTGAGTGCTTATAAATACTGTTATTTTGAGCAATTTGAAAAGGTGTCTTTTCCCAAAGACTTCGCAATCTTAAAACACACATCTGGGAATTCAGTGAAACTGAACTGTGACGTGCCCTGTTCAGGTTCAGATCCTTCACGGTGGGCTTTGTCTATGGGGCCTCAAAGGTTAACATGACTCATGACTATAGTTAATAGACTCTGTGCACCGCATGCATTGCCTGATAAAGTGGTCTCTTAAAAGAATATGGAGAATTTAAGAGCTCACTGTGGCTGTAGTCACTTAAGAGATCTCCATCATATGCTGAGTTTGAAGATGCAAGGCATAAGATTGCACAGTGAAATGCAGGAAATTATCCATCTTCACAGAATTCTCTACATGCGGAGCCAAGCTTGGAAAGGAACAAAACAGAGATCCCACTTCACCTTCCTACATCTTGGAAATGTTTCAAGTGTTCATTTAATGACCTGGGAAAGGAAACTGCTTTCTGCAGCGAAGGGCCATTGTTGTCTTTTGCAAACTGACAGCATATCCTTGCTAAGGGATGGTGACAGGCATTTTCTCGGGGGGAGGGGATGGTGATGCAGGCGGTGTGAGAAATGCGTATCACCACAGGCACTGCTGGAGTGCAGACAGCAGCTCAGAACAATAGCGATGCTTAAAAAAGAAAAACAAACGTCAAGCCCAAACTATATATACAAGGCAGAAAATACTTCTGCACATCCTGCTGACAGTGCTAGCATAAAGTGGTGCCTCCCTTGCACATATAGTTCCAGAAGCTCCACCACAAACTGCATTATCTGATCACATACAGACTGGGGATTCTGGGACACCTCCACAGAGCAGCAAGAAATCTCTCCTGGGATTTTAACAATAATTGTCCACGCTGCTCACACCTGACACCCAAAGTCAGAGAGCACTTGCACATCAGCAGCACTTGGATCATTCTTCATGTTCACTTGGCAGCTCACCTTTAGATCATAACTCATGTAAGCTTACTAGCCTCCCCGAATCCCAGAATACTAAGTGAATCCAGTTAAGATTAAGTGGTTTTAGATCTCTGATTCTTACTCCTCACGAATAAGAAAGGCTACAAGCTATTTAATGAGCATTTGATGAGCTGAATCACAGATGGATCAATTGTAGCCCCTAAAGACAAACTGCTATGGATTAAATTGTTAAGACAAGTACAGAGAGGGGAGTAGGAGAAGAGAATGCTGATGCGTATGATCAGGTCTGACTACCAATCCTATGACAGGCTCCCACCAGCTCCAAGAAGCACACCTTTTGGTTCTGATGGAAGAACTAGAACTTTTTCCTTCAGGGAGAGCTTTGTTCCCTTCTCAAATCTATGCTGCAATGAATGCAGGGATTTGAAGGAGGGCTCTGTGGTTTCTGTTGGAGATGCTGGTGTTCAGAGAGCTGTCTTCAAATTTTATAGAATCACAGAATTACCAAGTTTGGAAAAGACTTCTAAAATCATCCAATCCAACTGTTCACGTATCACCAATAATTCCCACTAAATAATGTCCTTCAGTACGGTATCTAAACATTTCTTCCACATCTTCAGGGATGGTGACTCCACCACCTCCCTGGGCAGCTCATTCCAGCACCTGATCACTCTTTTGGAGAAATTTCCTAACTTCCAACCTGAATCTCCCCTGGCACAACTTGAGGCCATTCCCTCTAGTCCTATCTCTAGTTATGAGTGAACAGGCCCACCACCACTTCACCACAACCTCCTTTCAGGAAGTTGTACAGTGCAATGAGGTCTCCCCTGAGCCTCCTCTTCTCCAGACTGAACAATCTCAGCTCCCTCAGCTGCTCCTCAGAAGACTTGTGCTCCAGACCTCTCACCAGCTTTGCTGACCTTCTCTGAACAGGCTTCAGAGCCTCAATCTCTTTCTTATGCTGAGGGCCCCAAAACTAAACACAGTACCCAAGGGGCAGCCTCACCAATGCCGAGTGCAGACAGATGATGACTTCCTTGCTTCTGCTTGCAACACTATTTCTGATAATGCATCAGGATGCCATTGGCCTTCTTGGCCACCTGGGCACACTGCTGGCTCATGTTCAGCCAAACGTCAGCCAACATCCCAGGTCCATTTCTTCCACACAGTCTTCCAGCTATGCTGCCCCAAGCCTGAAATGTTGCCTGGGGGTACTGGGAACAAAGTGCAGGACCCAGCAATTGGTCTTGTTGAATTTCATCTCATTGGCCTCACCCCAGCTATCCAGCCTGTCCAGATCCCTCTGTAGGAACTTCCTACTCCCAGGAAGATCAACAGTTCCTCTCAGATTGGTGTCATCTGCAAACATACTGAGGGTGCACTTAATCCCCTCATTCAGGTCATCAGTAAGGATATTGAAGAGGACAGGCACCAATACTGACCCCTGGGGAGCACCACTCATGGCTGGTCAACAGCTGGATTTAATTCCATTCACCACCACTCCCTGGCTATGGCCATCCGGCCATTTATATACCCAGCAAAGAGTGTAGCTGTCTAAGCCATGAGTTGCCAGCTTTTCCAGGAGAATTCCGTGGGAGACAGTGTCAAAGGCTTTGCTGAAGTCTAGGTAGACTACTCAACAGCCTTTCCCTATTATGACCACAAGTTGCTCTTGGGGAGATTTAAATGAGATATAAGGTATTTTTCTCTCAAAGAGTGGTCAGGCACTGAAATGGCCTGACCAGGGAGGTGGTGGAGTCACTGTCCCTGGCAGTGTTCAAGAGGCATCTGGATGATGTGCTAGGAGATGGTTTACTAGCTTAGTGGTAGCAATGGTGATACAAGGACAGTTGGACTAGATGATCTTGTAGGTCTTTTCCAACCTCGTTATTCTATGATTCCTTCATCTACGAGGCAGGTCTCTTGATCACATAAGGAAATCAGCTTGGTCAAGCAGGACATGCCTTTCATGAATCCATGTTGGCTGGGCCTGATCCTCCAGTTGTCCAGCACATGTACTGTGATCTCCCTCAAGACAGTCTGCTCCATAACCTCTCCTGGCACCAAAGTCAGGCTGACAGGTTCCCTGGATCCTCCTTATGGCCCTTGTAGATGGGAGTCACACTGCCAAGCCTCCAGTGCTCTGGGACCTCTCCGGTTATCAGGAACACTGATCGATGGTGGAAGGCAGCTTGGCAATAACCTCTGTCAGCTCACTCAGCACCCTTGGCTGAATCCCATCTGGCCCCATGGACTTGTGGCAGTCCAGAGCAGTAGGTCTCTAACTGTTTCCACCTGGATATCATGGGGTTTATTCTGCTCCCCATCTGAGATGTCCGGGTCAGGGGGCAGAGTATCTGGAGGATGACTGGTCTGACTTTTAAAGATAGATGTAAAGAAGGCATTGAGAATCACAGTCTTTTCCTTATCCTCAGTGGTCATGTTCCCCAACAAATCTAGTTAAGGACAGAGATTCTCCTTAGGCCTCCTCATACTGTTACTATATTTGTAAAAAAGTTTCTTGTTCTCTTTTACCCCAGAGGCCAAGTTGAGTTCAACCTGGGCTTTTGCCTTTCTTTTGCCCTGCAGTCTGTAACAGACTACCATCAGGATGTCAGCCTTGTTGGCCCTCCCCTGATCTTCACCTGTAGAGATTCAACCTTATCATCCCCAGCACTGAGCTCAACAACACTGAAGTACTCTATAACATAGAGAGTCACATCACTACCCCTCCTTCTTTGCCTGTCCCTTCTGAAGAGCATACAGTCATCCATTGCACCACATCAGCTGTGGCAGTGATCCCACCATGTTTCCATGATGGCAACTAAGTCATAATTTATCTGCCACACAGTGGCTTCCAGCTTCTCCTGTTTCTTGCCTACGCAGCATGTATTGGTGTAGATGCACTTCAGTTGAGCCCCTTGCATCGCTCCCCAGTCTGTCATCATTCCTCTAGGCTTATTTCTAGCAGGTCTGGTTTTATCCCTTGCCCCCTTCATATCTACTTTAAAGCCTCTCAATGAGCCCTGACAGCTCCTGGGCTAAGATCCATTGCCCCCTTTGAGAAAGGTGAGAACCGTCAGTAGCCATCAGGTCGAGCTCAAACCAACCCATGGTCGAAAACACCTGAATTCTTGCAATTGCACCAGCTTCTCAGCCATGTATTTGTGAGAGGTGTTTTCCTGCTCAACTCAGTATGCCCCCCTACCACTGAACAGATAGAGGAAAATATGACCCGCTCCATCCACTAACCACCCCAGTCCCCTGAAGTCCTTTTTGATAGTCCTCAGGATTTTATTAGTGACCTCATTGCTGCCGGCCTGAATTATCAATAAATGATAATAATCAGAGGGGAGAGTCAGACTATGAAGCTTCCTAGAAATATCCCAGACCTGGGCCCCAGGGAGGCAGCACACTTCCATACGGGTAGGCCCTGGCTGACATGCAGGGCCCTCTGTTCCTCTCAGAAAGGAGTTGCCTATGACAATCACCCTTCTTTCCTTCTAGGCAGAGGCAGCCCTTGACAACCTTGTGGGTGAACCTCCTGCTGCATCCTCACTCACCTCTCCCTCAAGTTCCAGAGCCTCAAACCTATTACAAAGGAGAACCTGGGGAACCGAGGTAGGTTGGGATGGGGATTGCCTGTGATGCTGAGCTGGAACCTGTTTCTACACCTCCTCTTTTCTTAAATTACCTCCCTCTGCTTAACAATGATAGAGCATGGGGCCCATCAATGGAAAATTTGTTTTATTCCCCTCTATTATCCCCTCCCTTCTAAGCTTCCAACTTCTGAAAGCTTTCTTCTGAATCTAATTATCAGCATGCTGTTTCCTATTACTCTGAATTTAGAAGTACAAGTTTCTCTTGGCATCACTCTGCAAACACATATCCATTGCAAATTCAGCAGGCCTGCTGCTGATACAGGGCAAAACACTTTGGCTCTTCTCCTTTGAAAGTGGCAAAGCAGCAAGCCTTGGCTGAAAT